CTTCTCTTTTTGTTTCTTTATTTTCTCACGTCCAATTACTATCAACATTGAATATGAACACAGTTCCTGATAGAGGTAATTTGATTCTGTACAAAAGAATTCTATTCTAGGCTGAAGGCCCTCGGGTAATGGCCATTTGTAAGAATGTATGTTTCTTGCAATAAATAACATTAAAAGTTAAAGTTAAGTTAATACCGTAAAGTGTGAGAACGTCAGAACTTAATTTTGTTAACGAAAACTTGCAACTGAATGCTGAACATACACGGCTTTTTACTACAAAAATGAGAATGGATCGACTATGCATTTTCGATGAACAATCACCGCCTTCAACGTCTTCCAGTCTCATCCCTTAAACACTGCTAACGTTACTTCCTCGGATCACACCACATTCATTTACAATAATTGTACTTTCAATTGCTCAAATTTATCGATGAAAAAATAATTTTCCTCCTCTCATTCCTCATTTTGTTCAGCAATACTTCAAATTTGAATAAAAATATCGTTGTTTATTCCGCAAACACGTCAAATACTGCCTTCCTATTGGTTGGCAATTCAGATGGGGGAATAATCCGAGCACTCGGGGGAATGCCCCGAGTGCTTCAAAATTCTCTAAAATTATCCTCAAGTTTTCCTGCATATCAACGAATGGGGCAAATTTGGCAAAAAAATTTTAACCTGCTATGCAACAAAACTTTTGGAAAATTTTTGACAATTTTGAAGTACCGGGGCATTACGACTGATAACTTTTTTATAATTTTCGCTGGTAGTTACTATATAAAAATCAAAGATCTTTTACTTGAATGAACTCCTCGCATCGAAACTGACAGATCGATTCTGTTTCATGATACAATTCTGTTGGCCTAAATTTGGATGGGAAACATAATCTCCTGAATACTAGTCGGAGTTTCAAAACTAATCAGGTACTTCCCTTAAGGTGTCGTGCATACAAATAAAGTCGTCAAGTTTTTCAGAACAATCAACAATTCGACGATGGAAACCCGCCGCTTGAACATTGCCACGCGAGGGTAAAGAAATTCCAGTATACGAAGAAAAAAATGTTTTTGACGAGTTCGTCCTTACTTGTATCAACTCAAGGTTCGAAAATTGACAAGCTGAATAGTGTATTATGTCATCAGGTGATAAAAGTATTATCTGGCGAATGTGGCATTATAATCCGAGCCGAAGGCGAGTCATAATCACGTTCGCCACAATCACATTCGCCAGATAATGCTTTTATCTCCGTGTGACATACGATATTTTATGTCGTTGGGCTCGAAAACCGCGATCTAACCGAACGAAGCGAGGTTAGAATCGCGTTTTGTTTCGGGCCTAACGACATAAAATATCTTACACTGAGAAAAGAAACCTTTCGTCAAGAGATTTTGTACTTGTCCGAACAAGTCAAGTGATTTTCAGATTAAAATATTTCGGATTTGAGACGTAAAAACTATTGAATAAATTGGTTCAAATAGACTTGGCTTGAAAAATCATTGTCTTGTCACACTGTTAAAAATTTTTGTCTGAATTTTCCGGGCCAAATTCCGGAAATTTTTATCGTGTTCCAATTCCACTGAAATTTTAGGAAATCTTGTCATTGAAAATTCAGAATTTTGTGGAAAAATCAAACAGATCTGTAAATTTCCGTTCCATTTTTCCCTGAAAATGAATAGAAAACCAGAAAATTCTGATAAATATATTCTTGAATTTTCAGGACAGTGACACTAAATGCGTTTTAAGGGTAAAAAAATCATTAAATTGCAGATTTCACTGAAAATTCAATGCAATTTGACATTGAATATTCATATCAGATTGGAAATTCAAATAAATTATGGAATTCTCGTCTTTATGGCCCTTAAAATTCTGGAATTTTACTGAATTTTCAGTGAAACCGGAAATTTCATGATTTTTTTTCCCTAAATCGTATTCAGTGTCACTGTCCTGAAAATTGGCAATCAACTGTCCATGAAATTTCATTTTTTTTTCTAACAATGCATGAACAAATTATCCTCCTCTTTGGGACAAGAAGGAAATCTCTTGACGAAAAATTTTTTATTCTTAGTGTAAGGTATTTTCTCCTTGTCAATTTTCGAGCCATGAGTTTTTTTATGCAAGTGGAGCTACACTTATCAGAAAACTTTTTTTCAACAGTGTAAGAGTATATCGGGAAATACCCGACAATTCTGAAGCTCTTGTCGTATAATAAGTTTTAATTTGATAATGCAGGCCATTTTGGTTCTGAATAATCATGTTCAAATGACGATACAAGTGAGTTGGGAAATTTTCATCCCACTTCTAGTGACAACTTTTAAATTTCCTTGAATTCTACCAAAAAATTGACATTTTATTATCATTCTTCTCGTAAATGGAATTTAGGGTTACTTTTATGAACATAACTGCCGGATATACATTGAATTTCAATTTTTGTCTAAGAGTGGACATCGATAGGGTGTTCTTAATATATAATAGGATTTTCGCTCTTCAATAACACCACTAGCAATCTCGAATCTCATCAACTTCGTAAACTAAAACGATAGAGTTTCAATTAATAGAATTTTCAATTATTTATGTACAGAGAAGATAAGAAGAAAATCCTCTTTGAATTGAGACCTCACTTTTTCTTGAATCAAGAACGCGGTTCTATCAATCAGATGGTAAGTTTATAGAGAAAAATTTTCTAGTTCCCGAACCAAGTTGCTAATTTTGAGAAACTCGAAGTTCTAGAAGGCATTGTACTGAGAATAAGAAACTAGTTTCTTATTCTTAGAAGAAAAATCTCTAAAAGTTAGTACCAAAAATCTACTTATTTGAAGAGAAGAAAGTTTTTGAATCAAGAACCATTTGATTCTTCAATTAAAAACCTTCAAAAAGAGTGAAATTAGAAAATTTTTGAACATTAATTCAACACAGTATCAAGTAATTAACTTTGGATAATGGAGCATTCATAAGTAAAAATAGATTAATGATAAATAGGAAAAATAAGCGATTTAAGAATGAAAATATTTTAAATTTGAGAAGCCAAATGTTCTTGCACCGAGAACCCGAACGTTTTTATTTTAAGAATCCAGATTAACATTAAATAAGAGAAAATGTATCTTAATTTAAATAAAATTATACTAGTGTCAAGTGAAAATTACTAAGAAATAAAGCTTTTATTTACGATTTTTTGGGAAAATTTCCTTAAAATGGGGGAAAACATCACTTATTCCTGGGATTTTTTGCTCGTTAGATTTTAAAATGATCGAAAAACTGAAAATTTGTCTGTCTGTGTGGTGTCAGTGAAAAAGCTGAGAGATTTTACCTCAGATTAAAAGAGAGAGGTCATTTTACCTCAGTAGTCTTCACGATATAGGCGGAAGGCTGTCAATTCGATAAAATCAATTTGTCCAATCTCTTAAAGAAATTTAGTGCTTCATGACACTAGGCGTAATCTTTTTTATCACCATATTTGAAATACGGAGAGAATTATCTTTAAATCGCGGGAAAAATGATCATTTACCAAGTTTTGCAACCCAGAAAACAGAGTTATTGATTGGGTTTTTGGTGAACATAAATTTAATAAAAATTGTTTCGGTGTGAGAAATAGATCAGCCTCAACAAATTGATACATTCTATATTTCCACATTCTCTGTGGAATTTTCGTCACTTCCACTTATCCCTGTTTTTTTTTTCATACCCTGACAGCTGCATTCTCTTTCTCTATATCACCTCATCATCATTAAAGAATTCTCATAAAAAATCACTCAAATATAAAAGATACTAAACTATCTACATCAGCCTTTTTTAAATCTCTAGCTATACAAATTTGGATGTCTCGAGTCATGTTTCACGGATATAAGGTTGACGTGAAAAATACAGGCTGATGGATGGGAAAAGAAGGTAAAAACCCTGAACAGGCCAGTGTGACGGAGAGCTCGGGATTTGAGTGTTATAGCTTTTAAAGCTCTCTCTCATTCCCTTGACGTAGTTTTAAAAACCTCCTCTCGCTTCACTGTCTCGAGGTCTGATGGCTGGCTAGCACTCCCGAAATAATGTTTGAAACGCTCGTCAATGTGTGTGTTGTACGTATGAGAGAGTAGGAAAAGTCACAAGAGGACCCCAGGCAAGTAGTGGAAGAAGTTATATCCAAATAGCACCGACGAGAGTACGACAGCAGCCGGGCAAGTTCTCTGGGTGGGATATTACATAATATTCGTTCGGCTGATTTGCAGAGAAGCGAGTTATCGCAGTCGCGTGTGTCTCATTTGTTAAGGTGTAGGGGTGTGTGTGTATTAGGGCGTAAAATGTAGAGAGAAAAGACTCATGTGCGTGACTCGGAATGAGCATGACAGAAATTTTAAAAAAGGGGTGAAAGCTTTTTAATCAATCGTCATTGGCGCACCCACACCCTCCAATCAATGTATTATGTCCCTCTATCTGTGTGTGTGTCTGGATTCACGGAATTATACTCACTCGATTATTTAGTGTACCACGAGGCGTGTCCACAGTATGGTTGCACCTCAGGGTGACAAGATCGACAGAGCGTCAAGGGGATGGAAGATTTATTTTTATTTTTTTTTCGCACGATGTCACATACGTTTTCCTCTCTCATCCAAAACGGCTAGGCACCCGGTGGATTTTAGTAACGCGCCGCGGCCAGCCACTCTCTTACGTTTTCGATGCACACTAAAAATAAAATCGACTCTCTAGCGAGTTTCAAACGCCCATACAGCCCCCCTGCGAGCCACATACATGTATTCCCCTCTCGTTAACTTGCCGTTTCTCTCTCACGCAAATATTTATTCCCCATTTTCCTCCACACTCGCTCTCACACTCGCTCGGGGATGCAGACATGCACGAGGTACACGCACGGATGTGGAATGTACAAATGAAAATTATTGATGTAGGTTTTATTGGGATTGGTGGAGACGGCGCTTCTGTAGTGATTGTTATTTTCTTCGGAATGATTTGTTTTGAGATTTACTAGTAATCATTGAGTTCCCAAAAGGAACTCCGTAACGCACCCGTCGCTAACTCCTTGCTCTCCACCACCACCTTCGTCCTCTCGTTATCTTCTCTTCCTTCGCCACTTCCACTTTTCTCGCCACGGTCCGTTGGACGCCGGGAGCACACCACTTCTCCACCTTATCGTTCTCACGTTTTGTACCGTGATCGACACATTTATTAACACTAATACACGCCACTTAGCACGAAACAATTTTGTTTAAAATTTTCTCAATTATTGCAACTAATTTTTCCCTCTCAATGCTCAACACATTGTACATCCAACGACAGGGGTATTCCCGGATTTTGACAATCCTCGCTGCTCACTGGCTGAACAGCCAGTGATTCTCATAACTCTTAATTTTTTTTCACGTTAAGTTTATGCTGATTTCTTTTATCCTTTTTCTGTTCTATTTCCCTCACCGCCAGTTGCTGGAAAATTTCAATGAAAATTTCAAGATAAAAAGGAGGAGAAGGAAAATGTATCAATTCAGTGTCTTTGAAATTCAAGTATCCCCGGCTACTGCGCCTTCCATTTCAACTCCAATGTCACGTCGCCCATCCCCTGTATACCTCCTCCTTACAATTACCACAACCTTCACTTTTGACATCGACTCTCGTCCACGTTTCACAAGAATTCGCCGAGGAATACCACTTGACAACTTTCCACCATTGGTACTCTCCCACCTCCACAACCCCAACAGTCACCCCAGGAATTTCCTCCCCACACTCGTTTATTTCACCTCCATCTTTGGTACCGTTATACCGGATAATACTCTCGAATCTCCAGTTGCCTTTGCACTTCTTCCTCGTGAGGCACGTCAATCCATCGACCTTCGTTATCACAAGGATCCAGTCATCACTCACTTCTTCAGCGCCGATTTTCATCTATCGTTGCTGCGATTTATTAGTGAAAATTTTTCTACGATTATTTTTACATATCAGATACGTTGATGTATCATTATTTATTTCTGAAATACGAGTGGGGTAGGGGAGAGGGAATAATCGGGGCGGTGAGGTTGACGGTGGCCCTGTTTTGCTGAGGTTAGTGGTGAATGATAAACGATTTTATGTGAACGATATGAACGACACTGGGGCCTCCGTCGGACTGGCAGTGTAACGGCTACCAGAAGGAAGGCCGGGGCTCACGCGCTTGCGCCCAACACGCGCCCTTGCACCACCCTTGCCTGACCGAAAACCACCGCCACCACCTCCTCCAACTCCTCTCGCATCCCCTCCTATTCAACCTCCTGCTTCATCCTCATGACAATCCCTCTCTCCACTTCACTCGTTATATGCGGGAATTCTCCTTCTCCCCGTCAGCCACCATTTCAACTGTTCGACCATTCGACGAATGTATTGAAAATCCGTATCTTCAGGACGGACCATTCTCATGCCACCCTTACTCTCAGGCATCGGGAGAGTTCCTTTCACTACATTTTCCGGGGTCGAGGAAAAATTGGAATGAAAAAAAACATGATAGAAGAAAACTATTTCGTTTGACCAATAGATGGATAGGTTATAGGGGTGAGACGGCTGAGAGTTCCATGCAATTATGCGAGAGAGTCCCTAGTAGAAATTGTGACAGGCTCTGCGACAGGGGCTGTTGCAACGACGTTCACGCACAAAGCGCTGCTGGAACCCTATGCGACTCTGACGCGGTGCACTCCCATTTTTTCCTTTTATCAATAATAATAATCAATCAGTTGCGAGCGATTATTATTCACTAACAAATCATTAATCCTTCAATAATTGATTTGAAGTAATACGCATAATCTGAAGTTTATAGATTCTTAATTGACGGGATTTGAAAGTAGGGCGGACACAGATAGGTCCATCCCGCATAAACCCGCGCAGCCCTGTCTCAGCAACCCTGCTGCGTACCTTTCCAAGGTACTTCGCCACGGAAGGCAATGTCACGCTCCAACTTCCGCCGCGACGTTTCTGCGCAGTGAAATTTCTACTAGGGGTGACGGCGAGACTTTCTTCCCATTGCTCGAGGTCACTCTTCCCTCCTCTTTATCATTCAGTAGGTTTTTCCCAGCCGGAATTTCCTCTGACCTCGTATTAAAATACATTTTAATTACACCTCTTTGAGGATACCGCTATAGCATTAACTGCCATGGTGGTTTATTGAAGGACAAACAATGTCGGTCAAACATGACATTTGGAGGGATAATTTGGTGTGAAATTTTATGTTTATTCGGTGATGAAGGGGAGGCTGAGGGAATTAACATTTTTCTATGGTGCCGAGAATCCTGGAATTCCTCGGCTATTCTCTCATGATTACGTAATGGTTTGTCGGTAATTGAGAGAGAGAAGAAAGAAAAAAGCAAGGAACGTAATGAGTTCATTAAAAGAATTCTTGGGGTTTGAAATTATTCCTTCAATAATCTTAGCGAATGTTTGTAGATTAAACGCTTTTTATTGACACACAAAATGCATGACATTTTTTATGATGTTTTGTGCCTGATTGAACTCAACTGACGCATCACTGGTTTAACTCATTTATCCTCTCTATTTGCATTTAACGATATTGGCATGTACTCTATTACAATGCTCCAGGGGTGGAGGAGGCATGGAAAGGAGGTTGGACGGCAACGGGGGGTCTCTGTTATAATAAACGCATCATGACACGCGCGAATGACGGAAGAGGGCGAAGGTACGAGTGAAACGAGTGGAAAGAGGGAGACGGAGGGATGGAATGACGACAGTGGGACGCCTGAACTGCGGGCAGTATAATCGTGGGGTTTATCGTTTTTCCTCTCTCCTTGTGTCCCAGTATCGAAGGGAAAGAACCGAGTGAAACGTGGAGAAATGGATTTTGTGGACATTAAGAATAGTATGTAGTCGGAATCGAATCAAGTGAGTCAACCTCCACTGTGTATTCAATACAGGAAGAGCATAATGGCTCATTATTCTTGGCATCAGATTTCCCGAGAAAATATCGTCTAGCAAAAATTTAATGGCTTCATATTTGTTGTTTATCTCATCACTCGTCTTTTTTTCTCTGTCCTCCTTTCAATGCTTCTCCACTGATGGATTCTGTGCAGGAGGGATTAGAGTGTCTTTGTTATGACTGCATGCGACTGGACAACAAGTGTATATTTTGAGAGGGAGGAAAAAAACTGAAGAGGAAGAAAAAAAACGGAATAAAGTTTGAGGAAGAAAGTTGAGGAGTTTATATAACGAGTCTACCGGGTACCTCGGGCTTTCTGGTGTACTTCCCTCCCCTCCGGTAATGCTCTTTGTGTGCTTTCGTATTACACCTGTTATACAATAGTTTTCTAATGATTTCATTCCACAGAGATTCGCTTGGCGATTTCTCGTTCGTCACTTTCATTCTTGTATTCTCTGATGACAAAAATCTCATCTCTTTTTTTGCACACATTCACTTCATGATGCATTCAAGTTTAATTTATCCTGAAATTCATGCAATTTTAATTGTGAAACACGAATGTAGACACGTTTCAGAAGCATGAGAGGCACTTGTCGAGTGAATATAAAACGAATGGATTTGAAGAATAAGAGAGTATTAAAAGAAAATAGAACGTCGTGAGAATGAAGAAAACAAGCGGCGGTTGTAATTGGTGGATAGCAGGGTAAAGGGGCCATTTGACGATGTAGAAAAGAGTATTCGAATAAATTTTCAGTGGAAATATACATCAAACGTGTGTGGATTATTCAGTGAGAAGAAGCCTCATGTAAAATTGGAAGTAACTTGATACAAAGTGGAGCAAAACAATTGTGTAGTATGACGGATGGATTCTGGGGAGGGTGAGGGAACCCTAGGGGGAGACAGCATTGTGGCGTGTGTGTTTGCCATTATCATCACACTCCCATCCTCGAATTTCTTAGTGAAAATGCCTGTGCCTTCTCACAGTGTGCTCGGTGACACGTGACAAATACGCAAATTATCGTGCGAAACTCGTCATTTCATGACGCACATGGAGGATTTAAACTTTACACATGGTTATTAAAAGAAAAAGGTCAAATACCATAAATTAAACGCGTTAATTGCGGAGGTCATTTCCTATTTTACGAAGAATTAGTGCAGTATGCTGTAGGCCGCTCTTTGCGTCATTGTCAGTGTCTCTGGGTAAATACATAATCGTGGAAAAACACATAATGGGAGAAGTTTTATCAGCTTTTTAGTGTTTGAGGAGAGGATTGGGAAGGCAATCGAGGCTATTATCGATAATGAGACACACGAGAGACTCCAGGGGTACCGGCACTGACATCGTTCCGTGTCGATCTTCATCGCCCAGGATGTCCGGGTAAACGAGGCGCATAATTAATCGAAATAGCTCCTCTATTTACCGTATAATTAATCCGGCCTCGTTGACACAGAATGATTTCAAGTTTGAGAGAAAAATGTATGACGTATTGCATAATTGTGGGAATTTTATTGTTATAATTTGCCTAGAAAATAAAAAATTGTTATTCACACTCCAATAGGCGTATTCCAACCCGCCTGAGGTGGATTCTGTTCGAAACGTCCAAAACATGGGGAATTTAGCAATCGTTCATGGGATTTACCAATTCAACTTTTACACTTCACGATCTTCGGGCGGGGAAAGAAAAACTTTCAGGATCTCCAAGGCGGAAGTTAATATATTGTTGGATTAAATGAATCCGCCCTTTTTTGCTTCCGAATGAAAGCTTTGTAATCGGTCAATTTTTCGATTCTTTAATTTTGCTTGGAAATGACTTGGAATGTCATGAAATGTCGAGATATGATATTTTTAGAGAATGTCTGTGTGTACGTCCGTATGTGCGTACAAAATTCTGAGAATTTTGAAATAAATTTTGACAAAAAAAGGACTAAAGTGATGGATAGAAATCTAAAATTTTGGTTCATAATTGGTATTATTTGCCAACACAGCGATACAGCGATTCCGAAATTTTTTTCTTTTCTCAATATCTTGAAAACTACTGCATCAAATGAACTTTTTTCTACGTCAAAATACTCTCGATGGTATCTATCGACTCGGACCATAATATGCCTATAGCTAACTATTGCGAGTTGCCCAGTAATTAACATTTTTCATTTGTGTGATAAAATTAATGTGAACACGATAACATAACGCTTGAAAGAATTGAGATAGGAAGTTAAAATTTGGTAGGATTCTAGTTCTTACCATATTACAGGCTGCACAGAGAGAAATGTTCAGTAAAAATTCCCGGGTAGAAATCACGCCGCTCGAGCTCGGCTCGGAACCCGTATCCCAGCTAGAAATACGCCACTCCGCCCCAGCTTGGGATAAACTCCACGCGCGTCACATGTACCCGAGGTTGAGCCGCGTCACGCGCTCACAGCCCAGCGTTAGACTATTACGCGAAACGCTTCGCCGGGCTTTAGTTGAATGGCCACTGCTCAACCTCAGGTTCATCTCCAATTACTCAATCCCAGTATACTTAACCTCAATAATGATTTGACAGGTCCGATGGCATCGTGATTTGAGCGAAAAAACAATCGAATAAATGTGAAGATGGCATGCTTTTTCAGATGAACAATCACAAGCTCATCAGAAATAACGTGATATTAACTAATCGAATGGGATTAATCTGAAAATACAAGGTAGAACAATTCACTGAAACGTAGTCAAAACTTTCTTTTTTCTCGCGAATACAACAAACAAAATCAAGAAAAATAATCACTTGAAAAACGTTAACGAACCTTTATTATTAATTATCAACGCTACAGGAGAGGATATTCTTCATTTTTCGATAGGCCTACGAGTTCTAAGAATATTCTACGATTTATTAGGGAAATGTTGAATACAGGTATGCCAAAATAACACGCATGAAAAAATTCAACAGAAAAACCTAGCGCTTTCTATTAAATTTCTATTGGAATTCTATGAGAATTCTCTGGAAGTTCTATTAAAATTCTATTCGTTTCTTGCGCCGATTCTATAGGAGATTATGCAACTTCATAGAGTCTTTTTGTTAAGGTAAAATGTGGTGCAAGAAAGTAAATAGGTTTTTATGTTCCTATAGATTTTCTTAGACGTAAGATTTCTAAGTTTTTTCTGCTCGGTTTTTCTTGATTTTCCAAAGTATTCAAATTTTAAATCGATATTCTAAA